GGGGGGGGGGGGGGGGGGGGGGGGTACGGCAACAGTCCTCTAGTGTAGTTCTCCTGGTCTGCTTCGTATGAACAGCGTCTTTTTTCAATTTACGATGGATTTTGAAATTCTCCTTCAACCTTCGTCCAATGTGCTTGCATAGAGAAGAATACTTCACGTTTTAAGTTTCTTTCCAGATTATTTCTTTCCTCTAACAGCCTGTTCGAGGAAAGAAATAACCTGGAAAGTTAGCTGCGGAAACCCTCAAATTTGGCTATCAAGATCAAGCGTGCTTGGTTCGTTTTGCATAGTCGAGAACTTCAGTCCTAGTCTAATTATATTCCAACAATCGAAATGATGTTAGTCAAAGTGACTTCCTTTATTTTTTCTTTTGCTTCTCACGATTCGTTCCGTGAGAAGCTAAAACTAGTTGAAGCTATCGAAATATCGAGTCACGAACATCGCTGAAGCAGCAACTTGAGGATTTAGAGCCTGATGAAAAAAGCAGAGCGAAAGTTGACTCTGGCGGAAAGAGCGATTTTGCGAAGTTGTTTGCAGCATTTGTTTATAATCAGCGGCATGCAGAATGTTATTATGATCAAGCGGGAAAGTTAGGTTTATTAATGCGAGTAGTTGTTTGCCTTGCTGACGGTGGAAGTCTTGCACAGTTTGCAATACCCATGAGAAAGTGGAAAGCCTTTGAAGAAGTGACACACGCTAAAAAAGATAAGCCGTGGGTGCTATTAAGGGGCACAAACATTACAGGCAGATTCTGAATGTAGTGTATAAAGGCGACAGCATCAAAGCTCCGCACGGACACTTCAATACATTTTTCACTCACTTCCATTTCTCTTATAATATAAATTCGAACGACTGCTCAGTTGGCAAACCATCCTGCTTAAAGCGACAAGTTATTTCATCTTGGCCTAAGACTGCCAGCATTCGTTGCAGGTAACGATGCTTAAAACATACCAATGACATCTGGAAATGACTTAGGCCCTTACCAAAACACTTTTATTGGGAAAACCACTGAGATAGTTGACTTTTTGAGAGCCGAAACGAGTGCCAGGATTGTCAACATACTCCCAACTCTCAGTGCATCAGCGTTAAAATTCATTAGAAAAATTGTCAGCTTCATAGCAGGAAGACAAAGCTATGAAATGCAGCTGATCAAAGTATCAAAATAATGCCGGTAGGAGTTCAGCCCAGAAAGTAACAGTATAACTCATATCATTCTAGCCTCAATTATCGCCACTATGATATTGAATTCTTTACCTTTCTCTTCGTCCTCTTCTTCTTTCCCTTGTTCAAAATTGCTTGCCTCGTACTGGTCATGGTCATCCTTGAATATTCCTTCTTTGGTGCCACCTACTTCCCTTTTTATAGTTCTCTTAACTTCTAGCTTCTCTACTTCCTTTTCACCTTCGTCAACTTTCGGCGATGCCTTCTTGTCCTTGTCTGCCTTCTTCGACTCCTTTTCATCTTTGTCGGCTTTTTTCGATTCCTTTTTCAATTCAGCTTTATCCGACTTCTTCGATTCCTTTTTTTCACCTTTATCCGACTTCTTCGATTCCTTTTTTTCACTTTTGTCTGGCTTATCTTCTTTCTTCTTTGCACCACTTAAAAAAATTTGTGAAGCGGATGCAACATTTGCTATAACAGTAATAAAAAGGAACGAAAGCAGAAGAAATGAAATGTAAAGTTTACTTTTCTCGAGATAATATGTCTGAATAGGAGTAGCTCAAATGTGTAAGCACACTCTTTAAAAGGCCACGCAGTACCCCACCACAAAACCTACAAAATTCTGTGAGCAAATTTTGCTCACAGAATTTTGCTTGCACTCGCTTGTCCGGGCCTTTCAAAGTTGCCTTTGTAGGCAAAATTCTGTGAGCAAATTAAAAAAAAATGCAAGCTGCAAGCAAAATTCTGTGAGCAAATTAAAAAAAAAAATGAAATAAAAAATTTGAATATAGGCGGCCATGCGTCATATTCGAACAAGAGGGACATAAAGGTGGATGAAAAGCGCCGGTTTGCGAGAAAAATCGAACCCAAGAATGTCAGTAACAAATCATGATAGAAGACGGACCACATCAAGCTGCTGATGCAATCATGCGTTTTGTGTATTTGTGCGCTACGAAGATAATAAAAATTTCTAACTTAAAATCTAACGTGTCCGTACGTGAGACTCAAATGTATTTAAAAGCTGAATTTAGATTTCCAAGTTCGAACAAGAAACGCCTCCGTATGTGTGAAATAAGCACGCTTGGAAGCTGAATTTAAAGTTCTAGAATCGCTCTTAAACAAGAAAACTTCTCCTGAAATTTCAGCTTTCTGTCTTATTTGGCTCCGAAGCTAATGAACGTCTCGACGGAATTTACGAGTCTCCGTGTGCAGGGCCTAGGCGTACCTGAAAATTAGACTTGAAGTTGGAGCCTGCTTCCCTAATCTAAACAGCGTGATTCTCTTCGCAATCTGAGTTTTAACTTATAAGGTTATATAAATTAAACGCAACAATATATTTTTGTAATGCTAAAGACAAAATTAAGCTATATGACTGAGAAGGAATGTTTTGGCCCATTAAATCGTAAACATTCTTTATCAGTACCACAATGGACCTCATCAGTACGATGGCACTAGTAAATGCGTTTGCACGAATATGTTAAAGAATTAAAGATAATGAAATATTTTCTCACCTTTCCATTCTGAGATTT